TCAATAGGTACAAAAAAAAAAAAAAAATAAAATAAAAAATAAAAGGAGTACATGGTTTTCACATATATAACATATATCTTTTTTTTTTTTTTTTTAAATAAGAGTTCACTTCTTTATAAAAGTCAGTTTTGAAGTTCTCTCCTGAAAAAAAGTGAGAAAATATAGCGGATTCTGACCCTCTAAATTCCCAACATTACTGTGTATATGTAATCACCTCTGTAATTCTGGAACTGTTTCTACATTATGTGCATACACATCTAATCCTGACAGAGCAACTTTTTCTATTGCTTTAAGATCTCCTCGGAAATCAGGGGTGAGACATTCCACAAGAATTTCTGGATTCCTATGGGAGGGATGGAAAAGATAAATATTAAACTGAGGAAAATAAATGACATAACTGCTGTTCAAAATAGAAATTGCCCGTACTCATTCTGTATCAGTTTCACCACAGTAATCTTTAGAATCCTGCCAAGAAAAGCATGAACTTACAAATGTTTATACATGAACTAGTTAATGGAAAAAACAAATAAATCCAAAATACTAAATTATATGTAATGGTTAAAACACATCTGCATGCAAATAATGATCAGAATAAATTTTGTGATTCTATAGGCTTTTAAACTGTATTGAGTAGATATTTAGAAAATACTGTCTAAAGGAATTAAAATATAAATATTAAAACATTAAACATATATTTTTAATTCTTTAGAAAGTAAATTGGGACATTTAAGTGAATGTGAACATTGTTTTATTTGATTACATTAATTTATTTCTCTTAAAAAATTTATCCAATAGTGTCCTCCTCCCTTCCTCTAGACAAATATTATACAAGTGCTACGGGTTTCTATTAAACTTTAAAAAAATTTTATTACATAAAGGTTGTCACATAATATTTCACTACTTTGTACACAATTATTCTTACTCGCCACAAAAAGGCTGCTTTCTAATTCTCATCAGGTGATGGCAAGCACCTGTCTCCATGGTCTAAGTTGAAAGCAGCACATGGCTCTTGCACTTAGTTATCAGGAAAGTACGAATATCTTTTTATTCAAAAATACAAAATAATTTATCTGTAGGCATGGACAATGACAGCAGTAAACCATTATGTTGTCAGTTGAAACCAGTAACTGATGGTTCCAGTGAGTTTTCTTAAACATCAGGCAGCCTTCAGTTATATTCCTCAACTGACTTCTCTGAAGTTACAGGTAAGGAGCACTGCCTTGAGCCTCCTCTCACAGATCTCATTAATAATGGTAAAACCTATTCTAAGAATTAGACCATGATACTTCTCATTCCACCCATGCTGCCGATTCCAGGGTCTTTCTCTTCTTTAGGAATTTCTGTGACTACAATTTTTGCTGTAGTTAACAGAGAGGCCACTCCAGTGGCATCCAATAAAGCAGTTCTTACAACATTAGTTGGATCAATGATTCCTTTTCCCACCATATTCACAAAATCTACAAGCACAGTATCATAATCAACTTCGAAGGAACTTTGCATAATTTTCTCAACTATCAACGATCCTTCAACATCTGCATTCTTAGCAATGGTCATTGCAGGAATTTTGAGTGTTTTAAAAAATAATTGCTATAACAATTTTTGATCATCATTAGTTGGGAGTTAATAAGTCCAAGGCTGGAATGCACAGAACAAGGGCAAAACCCCCTCCCAGAACAATGCCTTCTTCAACAGCAGCTCGTGTAGCATTGAGGGCATCTGTTACTCTGTCTTTTCATTCACTTCAACATCATTTGTCCCACCAACCTTCAGCACAACTACTGGGAGAGTTTTGCCAATATATTTTTCAATTTGAACCATGTCACCTTTTCTTTTCAAGAGCATGGCATTATTTTTGGTCACAATGATTTTGCTAACTTTTCCTAAGTCACGAGGCTGAATATCTTCAAGATTTAGAGTCAATCCTTCTTTTCCAATCAGTGCACTACCAGTATCAATAGCCATGTCTTTAAGCTGGTTCTTTCTGTTGTCACCAAAATCTGGAGCTTTGACTGCTACAACCTGAGGACCAATTTTTAGCCTATTCAAAACAAGTGTACTTAGAGCTTCTCCATCATCATCTTCAGCAATTATGACCAAGGGCTTACGGTGAGCACTGGCAATTTCAAGAGCAGGTACAATAAACTGGATATTAGAAATTTTCTTTTCACTCAACAGGACATAGACACCTTGAATTCACCTACCCGATCTTTCAATGTATTAATAAAGTATGGAGAAATACAATCTCAATCAAATTTCATGCCTTCAATAATTTCTAAATCATTCAGTGTTTTTCCATTTTGTTTTAATTTTTTTCTTTCTTCCAACCTTTTTCATTGTATCAGAAATGATGTTGCCAATTTTTTGGTCTCCATTTGCAGAAATTGTAGCAACCTGAGCAATTTCTTCAGAGGTTGTCACAAATTTAGACTGCTTCGTAAATTCAGCAATTATAGCATCAACAGTGAACATCACACCTTTCCTGATTTCCACTGGATTAGCACTTTTGCTAATTTTCTCAAAGCCTTCCTTGGCAACAGAGCGTGCCAGTACAGTAGCAGTTATGGTGCCATCCCTAGCCTCTTCATTTGAGTTATTGGCAACATCTTGAATTAGTGGCCAATATATTAAAATTTATCTTTTAAGTCAATGGACCTTGCAACAGTCACACCATCTTTTGTTACTCTGGGACTTCCCCAACTGTTTATTAATCACTGTTCTTCCCTTTGGCCCCATATGATGGTATAGTACCAGCTAAAAGGTCTATACCTTGAAGTATCAAGGCTTGGACATCTGCACTAAATTTTACATCTTTGGCATAAGCCCAAGTAAGATTAGGAGCCAGTGCCCCAGGCACTGGCTTAATCTGGCAAAGGACTTCGTGTAAATGTAGCATTTCTGTGAGGCGGTGAGGTAGGCCATTGACAGCAAGTGAATCATGCTATGGGTTTTACAAACTATTTTCTGAATTGCTGTGTCAAAAGCTTTGCTTAAATGAAATACAAGCTATTCTTCCTATTTATATTGTGGCTATGTCTATGCATTCAAGCACTAAAATGTGAATTAGGTCATAGAGCTGCTCCCTTTAACAGCAATAGAATGACTGGGACAGCTGATAAATTGTTCCACAAACCAAATGCAAAGTATCTGGAGCTGTTTCCTGAGAAAACAGATGTAGAAAGAATCACATACACAACTTGTCATTGATACTATGATATGTTGATAGAATACATCCTATAACTCACTGTTTTTTAACTGCAAGTTGAGACACATTAGTAATTTTTGAAATCAACTGAGTTACAAACAGAATTTTAAAAATAAACTATAAAAAAAAATAAGATAGAAAATATTGGAAGAACAACTGAAAAAACATTTACTAAGTGTGCCAGATATTATAATAGCACTGAGCTGTAGGAAATTAGCATAACTCCTTTTTTAAATGCTTTTTAAATTGATGAGATTAAAATATTAATGAAAATGTGGATTATGGGTAAAATTCCAAGGCCATTTGAATACAGATAAAATCTATATGAAAACTTACATATTTTACTTAACAATAATATCTTACCGTAACTACTTCTAGATGATGATTTATTCAAAATCAGTGCTAGGAAGGCTGTAGTTTTATACTTCTTCTAAAAGTATTCAATGTTTAAAATGTTAGAGAGGATAAGGAGAAAAAGGAACCCTCAAACACTGCTGGTGGGACTGCAAATTGGTACAGTCACTGTGGAAAACAGTATGGAGGTTTCTCAAAAACTAACAATTGATATACCATATGATCCAGCAATCCCTCTACTGGGTATTTACCCCTAAGACTTGAAAACTCATATCCGAGAAGATATTTGCATACCGATGTTCATAGCAGCATTATTCACAGTGGCCAGGACATGGAAGCAACTGAAGTGTCCTATGATAGATGATTGGCTAAAGAAGCTGTGGTACATATATACAATGGAATATTACTCAGCCATAAGAAGAGATGAAATACTGTCATTTGTGACAACATGGATGGACCTCGAATAATCGATAAGCAAAATAAGCCAGACAGAAAACGTTCAAAATCCCATGGTATCACTTATATGTGGGATATAAACCTAAAAGCAACAATTGAACAGGACAAACAAACAGAGACTTATGGACATGGACTATAGACTAGTGGTTACCAGAGGGTAGGGGGTGGGAGAGGAGGACGTAGGTAGACGGTTAAAGGGGGTCAAATATATGATAGTTGAAGGAAACTGGATTTTGGGTGGTAAATACACAATAGAATATACAGATGTCAAATTATAATGTACACCTGAAAATTATATAATTGTATTAACCAATGTTACCCCAATAAACTTAATTTAAAAAAAATTATTCAGTGTTTAGACTAGTACTCAAATGTTAAGCAGGGACTCTATGGACTAAAGGTCCATGGATAAATTTGTGCCCCTGAATCCCTAAAATTTCTGCGAATATTGAATCTGTATGTTCAAATATTCTTTTCCTGGAGAAAAAAACTCCACATAATTTCCAGCAGATTATCAGAAGGGTTTAGAACTACCCCCTGCCAAGAAAAGGTTAATAATCACTGCTTTAAGGTAAAAACCTTAAATAAACTGAATTTATATGGGTCAAAAAAAGTCAAATACATAAGCAATACAAAAAGAAGTACCTTTCCTTTAAGTATGATACAGTTTTTGCAAAGTGCTCAGCTCCTCCATCCGGTATATCTAGAAACAAAAGAGTCCACTGCTCAACATGATGTCACAACTTACTATGAGCCAATTTCAGGAAGTGGCAATGATGACACACTAACCATCTCGATCCACAGATGTCAGGACAACATAATCCAGGTTCCACTCTGCAATTGCCTTTGCAGTATTGTAGGGCTCATTGGCGTCTGGTGGAGGGGGCTTTCTTGCAGTCTTAACAGAACAAAACCTGCAACCTCTTGTACATGTGTCACCCATCAACTAGAATAGAGATGTTACAATTTAAATCAATGTAGATGAATTATCCTTAAGAATATAATGTTGAGAGAATAAAGCTGCAAAGAATGAATACAATTTGATTGTTTATAAGAAATTTGAAACATTTAAAGGTAAACAATATAGTTAAGGAATACAAATGTGGTAAAACCAGAAAGAAAAGGAAACAAACTCAGAATTAAGAATAGTGATAAGGGAAAAAGAAATGGGATGGGATCAGCAAAGGATACACAGGGGAGTTCAAAGATAATGTTTTCCTTTCAAACCAGAGGTATCAGGATGTCTGTTGTATTCGTATTCTTAATAATTTACACATATGTTATACAGGTTCTTTTGTACCTATTTATTATTAATAAAAATGATTTTAAAAGAAATTTAAAAATTTAATTAACATATCAATATGCAGGTCTCTGTGGGAGTTAAACAGAGGCATAGCTTGTTAAATAGATGAAACAGAAAACATAAAAAGTTAATAATCTGCTTTCTATGGATACCACTCTTTCTCCAGGACACCGGTTCTGCTGCCACAGGTCACTACCAAGTTCAGCCCCCTTCTAAACACAGTCACTACAGATGTTCTGGGGCCACTGGAGTTTCAAAGCTCCAAAGTAGGGGTTGGGTTGTGATTGAGGGCAGAAAGCTCTTCTCCCCCTTTAGGTTTAACTATATCACAAGGGACTCACAGCAATGGTACTCAGGCCGAGCCTCTCAGTTTTATTGAAACAATGAACTCTCCCCAGGAACCAGTTATGAGTCAATAACAGAAAAGGGGACCAGGTAAGGGGTGAAACCAGAGACTTCCATTATGGAGTATTCAGAATCACTTCTTCCTTCCAGATTTGGGGTTCTGTAACTTGGATAAGCTCTCTGATTGGCTCTGTATTATTCCAGAAAGAGCACTATCTCATAGGAATCCTAAATTCATTGTGTAAATAACCTCCTTCTGGTACAGGTCAACAGTTTATCAGACAGTCCCAGATAAATAAGAACTTTCAGTTGCATACAATTTAAGTTTAACCCTAATACCCCTTGGGATAAATATGGTAGAATGCACTGTTAATCACAATTTTTACTCCACCATATTAAGGTTATGCATCCCACCATTTGCCATATAACTTGTGAGGCCCTCCCATGGGAGGAAAAGCTTATATCTCTAACCCTACTGATGTCTGGCTTTCTTTGGTTAACAGAATGATAGTAGGCATGACCAAGCAGAAGCCTCAAATGTGTGTAGGTGGTTGGCTTGCCCTCTTGTACTTCTTCCATTCTCCAAGATAAGACTATGCCTTGAAAAGCTGCTGGTCCAAGGAGAATAAAGCTCTGTAGAGCCTACCCGAACCCAACCTACTTCTTGGAGTCCAGCTTAGCCCAGTCAAGATCAGCTGAACCTCAGCTAACTGAAAGACCCATGAGAGAGAAAAATAAATTCTTGTTTAGTGGGAAAAAGAAGATAAGCAATCATAAGTAACATTTCTAAGAATTAACAGTAGAGCTACCTCAAGGCAGCACATGATTAGCTGTCAGACAGATGGAAGAATCAATAATAGATTTGTTCAGAGAACAATGAGATCATAACAGGCTGGATTATTGTCAGTTTTTCACATTTCTCATAAATTCCTATGTAATGAAAACTCTGATCAGATTCATAATGCATATTTTTAAGAGAAAGATATAAAATAGTTCTTTTCAGTTTCTACACTAAAACTTAAGAGTTTGAGGCTGGCCTTACCATGATCGTGGCTGTGGCAGTGGCATATTCTCCACCTCCCCAACACTCTCCAATATTGGGACATCGAGCTTCCTCACACACCTGTGAGTAAAAGGGAACAGAATTCAATCAGGCTGAAAATATTTACCAATTGAAAAATTAGTGATCTGGCATTTTACACTGCTCATCTTTACGACATATTTATGAAGAAATTCACTATATAAAAATAATGTTAAATTGCCAAACTTTGTATATATTAAGATCTCATTTTTAAATTAAAAACCATATGAATGTATATATTTTATACGTGCAAAGAAAAAGGTATGGAAAAATATATATTGAATAATTAAAGTGGTGTAGTTAACATTTGAGATTGCATATATAATGTTTCACATTTAATACTATACTCTTTCCAACAAACATGTTAATTTGTAATGTAAAACAAACCCTCATTTCCTAAGTTGCAGAAAAATCTCTTTATCTTTCACTATTAAATGAGAAGTGAAGAAATACAATTACTTTTTATTTCTTTTGCAGGGAAAATGATTTTTAAATATATTTCCATTACTGATAGTAATGCAACCTAAACATCTTTATTCACCTTCCTTACTGTTACTGATATGTGTATTAATTTTTCAGTTACACATATGTAGAAACATTCTGACTATGGTTAAGAGAAATACTTAACACTTTGATAACTTACTGTATGGAGATTTAAATTCCGCAATGTTTTTTTCAGTTTATTATAATTTTTCCCCATGGGAATCTCTGTCTTTAGCCATGGAGGTAGCCTTAACCTGAGGAAAAGCCAAGCATTAACAAATACATTCCCAGATGATCGCACAGATTTGAAGTTACTTTGCTCTATTACAATTCCTAGTTAAGATGTTTTCTGCCCATAATCCTAGATTAACTCTTACAATTTTTGCAAAGGCACAGAGTAACACCATTCTAATAGAAGAATAAAGAAGCGTTGAACATCTAATTCTTCGATAAATAATACTGGCAAAAAGTTCTATATTTGTTCATAATAAGGAGAGATCCCATAGGTGTACTTTCTAGATTTTATGATGATGATTAAATAAAAAAAAAATCTAAAATTTGGAGTGAATAGTATCAGACACCCCTTGACTTCCACCCATTTATGATCTGGAAGTTGTTGGGTAAAGTACCCAGCAAAATAGTTTGCCCTCTGCATGAAATTTCCTCACAATTCTTTGAAATTAAGGCCAGGTATTCGCAGGTCATAATCACATAGACTAGGAGAAGCAACAAGTTAGATTATCAACAACTAGTAACAATAAAAAATTGATAAATTTATCAAGGTCTAATAGACTAAGAACAAGGTGATAACCTTTACTTTCTGAAGAAATTCGATGGTGGATAGAAAACAGATGGACATATAGGATGGTTAAATCCTAGGAAAGCGGAAAGAAAACCGTCAAAGGGCACAGAAAAAAGGATTCCAACAATTTTACCTGATTACCTGTTTTATGTCTGTTATTACTTCCTTCTAATGCTTTTAAGCTAAATTTAACAAATCTGATTAAAAATATACTCTAGGGCAGCGGTCCTCAACCTTTTTGGCACTAGGGACTGGTGCTCCTATGAGAATCTAATGCCTGATGATCTGAGCTGGAGCTAAGGTATGATACTAGTGCTGGGGAACAGCTGCAAATACAGATGAAGCTTCACTCACTAGCTGGCAGCTCACCTCCTGCTGTGAGGCCTGGTTTCTAACAGGCTACAGACCAATACCAGTCTGTGGCCTGGGGGTTAGGAACCCTTGCTTTAAGACTTGGTTATATCTAAAAATAATGCACAATGAAGAAATGAGACATTAAAATTATCTCAAAATTTCAATTACCTTTCTCCTTTCTGGCGTTTTAAGTTTCCTTTATATTCATCCCAGGTGCTCTTGTCTGCAAGATCGCCAGATACAAAATCGTGAAGGTCTGGTCCATTCTGTAACAATTCCTTTTTTTTATCTTGCAAGGAACTTACTGCTCTGAGTGGACTGCATAAATATTTTACAAAAACCTAAAAAGAGAGTTCATTGTGACATTTATTTAGTGGGGTTTTAACCTATTTAGTAATCACCGTTCCCTGCCCCCCATACCGAAACCCAAGGATGCTCAAGTCCCCTATATAAAATGGTACAGATCAATGCAGATCAAAAACAGTATAAGTACTGATTGAAAAAAAATCCGGGTATAAGTGGACCTCAGCAGTTCAGAACCATGTTGTTCAAGGGTCAATTGTGTATATTTGTTGCCCGTAAGAAACCATTAGCATCTAAATCTGAACACAAGTGTGACCATCCAAACACTAAAATTCACGAGTCCGTAAACATAACGCAAAAGAACCTTCAATAATTCAAAAAGAGCTCCTGTTACGGTGCTGCACGATGGCTACTCCACTTGTCCATGTCTCCCACTAAAGCCTAGAGAACAGGCTTGTGTTCTCAGCATCCATAGTGCTGTCTAGCACAGAGTAAGAGCCCAACACAAAGTAGTTATTTGGGGGTGCTCATGACAATGCCCCTATAGTGCTCCAAAAAATACATGGTACAAATCACTGATAAGCAGGGAAAAAAGCTCTCAGCGCTAGCCAGAGAACCTATAAACAAACCATTACCAGAGATTCTACCTCATAGGGGTGTCGGAAGAATTAAATGAAAAAGTTTACAACAGTGCCTGGCTACAAGTAAACGTTCAGCTAAGTGTCGTCCGTGTTACTGAGCGCTCTGAAGGAATGGGACCCCCATACCTGACGCCCGCACCCTGCTCCCCCGCCGCTCACTCGGGGCCTCACCGTGCGGACGACGCTCCCGTAGCGTATCGACATCTCCCTCTTTTGTTTCCTCGTAGGGTTGAGGAATCACTAATTCCCGGGAAAAGGCAGATGGACAAACCGTCGCAGTTTATACACAGCACCTGAGCCACCACTGACCCGTTGGGACTTGAGCTGCCTCGCGATTGGCTACTTTAGCCTAGTAGCGTCGCGCGCTCATGACGCCATACGCAGAGGCGTTACGGCTACAAGAACGTGATGACGGAGGTCGGTCTCTCTTTGCTGCAGCTACTGCGAGGTGAGGCTGTCTCAGTACTTGGTGGGCTGCGAGAATCTGAAGCCATCTGCTCTAGGAAAACTAGCGGCGCGCGGGTCTGTCGCTCCGAACGTTTATTCTGGTTGTACTCCTGCGCCCCAGCGCCTTATGTTTCTGATGGCTTGGGATTCGAGCCCTATGCTGGGCTTTTAGGCCTGCCTCCGAAACTCAGCCTCGCTGGGATGGCGCCTCCCTGATAAAGTTTCACAGGGTTGCGCTGAGCTGGAGTTCGCCCGCTGGGCCTCGTGTCACCCGCTTAGTAGTTGCTCCTTGCAGGCTAGGACGCACCAGGGGGCCGCTCTCCGTGTAGGTGCTTATGTACGTTCCCCGGACTTTTTCCTGCCGGTTTCTGGTGGGAGTGGAGCTTAGGATAGTTTAGTGGAAAGCAGACTCTGCCGGCCTTCTTACCCAAGTGTTTATTTTTCAGGATGAAGACCATTCTCAGCAATCAGACTGTTGACATTCCAGAAAATGGTAGGAGACTCGATTTTTATTTATTAAAAATTTTTTATGTCTACTACCCGCTGTACACCTTGTTCCGAGGCCTGACAAATGCATTCTCTCTTAGTGGATATCACTCTGAAGGGACGCTCAGTTATTGTGAAGGGCCCCAGAGGCACCCTGCGGAGAGATTTCAATCACATCAATGTAGAACTCAGTCTCCTTGGAAAGAAAAAGAAGAGGGAGAGATGTCTTTTTTTTTTTTTTTTTTTTTGGACACTTCAATTGCTTGTTTGGAAGGTTATGATTCAATAGCATCAAATTTGGTTGCTTTAAAAATTGAAGAATTGAGGTTTAATGTTTTAACTTAAAATCTCGCATTCAAAATTGTAGCAAGTTTCAGTGTTACTGTTTTAGCGAAGTTGGAAAACCAAATTCTGAGTGGATTATGTTCAATACTAGTAGTCATCATTAATGGAAGGTCTTAATACTATTACAAGTTGTGTTTATTTTTCCTTATGATTGTTTTGTAAGAATCTTAGGAACTGGGCAGTAGACTTTAAATCTAGTATTTTAGCTTTCTAGAAGTGAAGTTTGATTCAAGTTGTGCAAAGGTGGGTGTTTCTAGGTTGTCATTCCTTTATGAAATTGTGTACCTGTGATAAGTAGTAATAAAAATGTTAATTATTGAGGACTTACGTGGTTGCATTTTTCCAGTTAAAATCATGCACTTTAATTATGACATACTAGAATTTAGAGTGATTATGTGAATAATGCTAAAGTTTTTGTTCTGTTACAGCTCCGAGTTGACAAATGGTGGGGAAATAGAAAGGAACTGGCTACTGTTCGCACTATCTGTAGTCATGTACAGAACATGATCAAGGGTGTTACACTGGTAAGCAGAGCGATCAGACCACTTTGTTTAGGAAGGGGAGGTTTCTTGGCTGTATTTTGTGCAACATAAGTACTGCAGTGACTAGATTATGCATGTAATTTAGTGAGCTGCTTGAGCTCTAGAACATGGAAAAGTGATTTTGGCAAATCTGTTTAATAGGTATTCTTAGGTCTTTAGGAATAAGTGAGAAATACGATGAAAGTCCAAATGGTCTTAGTAAGCTGATGGGTTTTTTTTTCATGCAAAATTAGATTCACATCATCAGGGTGTGTTTTTTTTAACAGAAAATGTAGCACATAAGGTAGGCTTTGATTTGTTGGTATCTAACATCTGAGTTCCCTGTCCATTTCCCCAAAAGCATGTTTTATATCACTATTCTCTTGCCAAACCCCGTTCCCCTCAGCCTTTAAGATAAAATTTATGCTTCTGCCTTTACTGAAATGTTTTTCTTTTCATTGAAACTCTTGAGTATATTTGATAATGGCACTCTGTACTTAACTCTTTTATAAGTCTATCTTGTCACTTTCCCCTTGCTCCCAAGCTAAGTTCCTTGAGAGCAGGGCGCCTGTCTTGATATTCTCAATTCTTGCCTTCTGGCGTAAGCAACTCAGTAAATGTTAGTCTGATGCTCAAGATGAAGGGCTTTGGGGCTTTTAAAAAAAGCTAGCATTGTTTACTGTGGGCATAGGAGGTAGTAAAAATAAATTCTTCCTTATGGAACTTGGTAGTCCAGAGGAGACACTGAAACATGTTTGTGTGTAAAATTTTCGTTAGGCTTCTTTCAGGTGACAGTTGTTATAAAACCTTGACAATGAGTGCCATGTGAGGACTGTTTCATTTTAAAATTATAAGTCTGTAAGGACTCTAAAATTTAAAACCTGAATTTTTTTCAAACTTCTCATCATTGTTAATTGCTTGCTTAACATAGGGCTTTCGTTACAAGATGAGGTCTGTGTATGCTCACTTCCCCATCAACGTCGTTATTCAGGAGAATGGTTCTCTTGTTGAAATTCGAAATTTCTTGGGTGAGAAATACATCCGCAGGGTTCGGATGAGGTCAGGTATGTGCAAACTGTCACATATGGTTCAGAAATTTTTCCTTTACATGTGTGAAGGCTGGTGTATCGGGTTGGCTTACAAATAAAACCAAATTGGTTTCAAGATTGACTATTTTGATTATGCTTATAATAACTCTTAGTGGTAGGTAAGCCTTATATATCATACCTGTTGCAATTCCCGAAGGCTTTTTTTTTTTTTTTTTTTACATTCAAGTAGTTCGCAGAGCATGGTAGCTGTGTTTTGTTTTTTTTTTGTTTTTAAACCATTTGAGTAGTGATTAATAGCATAGACTCTGCCTAGGTTCAGTTCTCAGATCTCACTATCAACCTTGGGCACATTACCTCTATGTAGCTCATTTTACTCATCTGTAAAATGAGGAACATCTTATGATTAAATGAGTTAAAATTGAAATGTACTTAAAACAGTTCTTGCCTGATAACCTAGTAAACACAGAAGCATTAGAAAACTTTAAAACTTAGTGTTCAGGGCTTTTCGATTCCTTTGGGAAGGATGGGAAAAAGGGATTTTTAGTACTAATTTAATGGCTCTGTGGGAATGTTACATATGGTCAGCAACATTTAATTAGATAGGACCCTTACGTAAACTTTGAGGGATACTAAATATATGTAGTAGAAATAAAACTTTATATAAGCTTTGTACAGCTAAATCTCACTAGCTGAGTACCATCTTCTCATACTCCTTAATTGAATCACAGAGTCTGTTAAGTACTCAGATTCATTCAAACAGGAATGCAAACAGAACTTTGGCTCAGATAAATCGGATACTGTAAAACCAAAACTCAGAAGTTTCATTTGTTCTGTGGAATTTTAAATGGAATAAGTTGCTACTTAAATATATTTAAATTAAATATTTCCTCTGAAGATTTGATTTTATGTTGACATTGTAAATGCCCTCTCCCCTTTTAGGTGTTGCTTGTTCAGTATCTCAGGCCCAGAAAGATGAGTTAATTCTTGAAGGAAACGACATTGAACTTGTATCAAATTCAGGTTTGTATGTTCTGCCTACAAAATTTTGTCTAGTAGTTGAATGCATGATATTCTGTTAATTCGGTGAGCTTTTTTAATTGTGGAAATTAAAAAGCTATCCCAAAGGTACTCATGTTTTCTAAGTATAACATATATTTATATATAAAATACTTTCTTTTAAAGATAGGTTTGGCTAATAAAGTAATTGTCTTATGTTTTACACTCTTTAACAGCTGCTTTGATTCAACAAGCCACAACAGTGAAAAAAGGATATCAG